AAAAATTTTCTCTTTACAAAAGGGGTCGCGGTCGAAAAAAGTTTGCGCACCACTGGCTTAGAGGATTGAGCGCTCATTCTCAATGAGGTTTTCAGGCTAGAACCTCACCAATGACGAACGAATTCAGTACCCGCCTCGCACTGAACACAGTACTGACGTTAAATATCCTCAGTGCTAGAAAGATTATGGGTTAAAGTTCCCTTGCCGCCAGGCTAACCATGGGAAGTTTCCGTGGTTTTTCACTCCATCGCAAATGCGGGTTAGTTCCATCAAAAAGTCCTACACGGAGGTATTTCTCCCAATACTTGATGCAGGAGCTCCCTTGTCTTCTAGATAGGGTCAAAAATTACACGACTACATAGTGTGACAATGGTAGTCGTAAACTCCATTGGAGTCGGCTGTTCAACGACAGTTAAGAATAGAGGTTAAGAAAAATAGATGATCCTTGATTAACCGTATTATATTATTTGTGTTAATCCTTACAAATTACTGAAGTAGATTACATTTCTATCAAGGCACACAAAGCTTGTATTTCAAATTACACGAACCTTAAATACATAATTTCAAACAATTATGCTGGTAACAAAGGTATAAACAAATGAAATATTATCTCCTAGTTCATAGAATGCAGCAAATATACTGAAAATTTTTAAATCGGCTGCCTTATCTGAAAATAGTACAATCACAGAGAGTCATGAAATGAGAGTCATTTGCCAAATTATTTAAAGCAATAATCGCAATGATAGTTAGCACTACATTATTAGCATATTTAAGATCACCCGCAGGAACGTGAAAATTCGATCATCAGAGCAAAAGTTATTTAAGGTGATATTTTTTTTCTCCCTGTACAGTTTAAAATTATGGCTTTGTTTCAAGTGTAAGGCACTTTAACTATGGCTTTTGTATTTTTCTTGGTGAAACAGCTTTGAAAAACCTTGTTACACACGTGGCTGACAATGACACAGATATCGTCCGACTTTTGGTCCCAATCCAGAAGACAAGGGAACTCTTGGATCGAGTATTGGGAGAAATTTGTCTTCTTGGAGGACTTTTTGATTGAACTGACCCGCATCTGCATTACATGGAGAGTAAGACCACGAGAACCTCCCACGGTTAGCCCAACTGCAAGGGAACTCTGATCAGTCTAACACTGAGGATATTTTACGCCAGCACTGTGATCCGTGCAAGCCGGATGCGTAATTTGTATTGATCAGCCATCGCTGGAATTCGAACCCGGTTCAGCCTGAGCCATTGTGGCTCATTATATATACATATTAGTATTTTTGATATCTATTAAAACAGTCGCAATCACCAAAATACCAGCAACCGAATAAAGAAACTAAGAATAGTAAGAAATTTGATCTAAATGTAGGTGATTAATAGACAAAAATGAAGTTTACTGACTTAAAGATGATCCTAACAAAATATTTTAATCCTCAATCATGAGGATATCAGAATAGCAATGTTTGACACACTGTTGCCACTCAACAGAAACAAACTTCTTAAAACTACTTAAATTTCAGCATTTAACTGTTTAACATTATAGGACTCAGTATCAGAGAAAAAGATTTTTTTAAATCTTTTCTTTATGGCTAAATTATGATAAATAGTTCAAAACTCGGAATAGTAAAAAGTTATTTCAACCCATTCAAAAACGACCTTTTAATTATATAGTTCCCCATGTTTTTCTCCAGATTATTTCTATTTTTATCTTTTTCGTCTTAATTTCAGCTCTGGATTCACATATACTAAAATTTTTATTAATATTATTTATGTAAATATCTGAAACTACTTAAAGGCAGTGTTTCCCTAAGTGTGGTACGCGCACCCTCAGAGGTTCGGGGACAGTTTAGGGGGGTACGCGTTCTTATGCGAAATATCTTGCAACAAACGAAAAATCATAAAATTTTATTTAAAAACAAAGCTAGCTATGAAAATTTACGATTACGTATTTCTCTATTGGCTATTATTTGCAGAGTTAAAAGTTAATAATCAGTGGTGTCAACAGCCAGTTGTGATTTTTAACTTTTGTGCAATTTTTTTTATCACAGCAAAAACAATATCATCCATCTCACTGATGCAAATAAACTTATTAACAAAACTTGCACCAAAAAAGAAAAATAAACATATTTTTAAAAACATACATTCATTTTTTTATTAGTGGTACACTGCATTACGAAAAATTTAGAAAGGGTAAACAAAAAGGCATAAGTTTGAGAAACACTGCTTTAAGGTGCACCTTATCCTATCTCGCTAATTTACTAACTCAAAAAAGGTTACTAACCACTAGAAATGTAAAAATTATTGCGTTTTTACGTTTTGCAACCGGTTATATTATGGAACACAAAACTATCTTCGCTTCGTTAATGTAAATATAAATAAAAATTTTAAATACATTTTCTTCTCCTTTTAGAGAAGGAAACGCTCTTTGAGAAGAACTGTAGATAGAACTAAATTATTTTGGTAGACAACTAAATTTCTAAACCCTTTCTGTAACAAGAAATTTAGATTGAAAATTTTAGTCACACAAGACGTATGCAAGTTTGATTTCTAAGTGAAGCTGCATTCTTTATCTCTTTGTTGTTTTAAAAAATAGTGGCTGCTTACGTTTTAAAGCAATTAGCTTTACATTTCTAGTGGTTTGTAACATTTGTTGAATTAGTGTTGCCAGTTTGTCTACACTGCTCGGAAAAGGGTTAAGGCATGCATAATTCTAACAAAGCTGAAACATTCTACACTAAATCACTCACATAGTTAATAAAAAGAATGAAGACAATTTTATGCATGAAAATTTTAATAGATAAAATAAAATCAATAAATATAAATTAAAATCATGCTTTTATGTTGGTTTTCTAATTTCTAAATAAATCCTGCATCTTTACACATTTCATGAAATCTTGATCCGTTGTCTTGAAGTAAAATTGAAGGATTTCCCACTTCTAGAACTGTTCCATTTTCCATAACAACAATTCTGGAATAAAACTGAATATTAAATGAGAAAAAATTAATCTTTCAAAAGAAATTGTTTTAACTCTCCTAAGGAAAGCTGACAAAAAATGGCAATTTTGAATTAAAACGGTTGAATCAAAAACAGAAATCCTAAAGGAACGTGGGAACGGAAAGTAAGAGCTCTTTCTTTTACGATTTTATAATTCTAACTCAAATTTTTTACTGCTTTTTAATTGTATATTTTTCGTGCATTTCTTATGAAATAGCGCTTTTTTTAAAAAAAAATTCAGAAAAACATTTTCTGATTTTTAGTTTTCGTATTATTTCAAAAGCACAAAAAATCGTGTGATTCTTTAAGGACAAAATTAATAACACTATTTAACGCCTGGAAAGCTTAAAGACTGAGACTAGAATAAAAACATGTGTTTAACGATAAATAGTTTTAAAAATATAAAAAACCTTATACAATAAATAAACACTATATTCTTCGTAATTTTTTCATCGTTTCATTTGCTTTTGACAGGTGCGGAGATAAGTACCTTAATGCTGCATAATTCAAAATGTTTTTAATTCAACTTGTAAATATATCATGATGTATGGGTTAGGGGCCGCTGCGCGGCCCAGGCACCCAATTTTTGTTAAATAAAGAAAGAAAAAGGTGTGGAGATAAAATCCTAAAAATTGAATTTTTAGTAATTAAAAATGCAAGAAAAATTACTTCTACATTGAAAAATTTGCTTTTTTAGTTAGATAGTCAATGGACCAAGTGGAACCCTTTTTGCCGGAAGCTGTCACTTTTTTAAATTTGTTAATCATTTCTGCTATAAACAAAAATATATTAGTTTAACTCTTTCCTGTATTGAAATTTTTGTTCTAGTACATTTCCAGAGCTAAACAGATAAGTGTTTGGTATGTTTTCAATTATATTTATTTGTTACTTTTTTAATGAATCAGTAATTACATAAAAAGAATTTGGGTAGCTTGCAAATTTAATAAATATATGTTATTAACATTTTCTAAAGAAAAAAGGTTTAAAATTGTATCTTTAACAAAAAAGATGAAATAAAATAATAGAATTATTATATATTTCGCTGAATACATGAAAACTTCCGAAGCGTCTTATGTACTTGCAAACATATTGATGTATAAACAAAAGGTTAGTAAAAATGCACCAACGCATCAGCAATATATCATTAATGCATCAGCTGGTTGTTTAAATCGTTTGATGGACTTTTGTTTTCATAAAATTTAATTCATATCAATAAAAAAAAAATTTGAAAATTTTAGGAATTTAAAAATGAACTATTTAAAAGTTTTTTGAAATTGTTAAAAATTATTAAATTGATTTAATTGTAATCAGCCTTCTTATCAATACTTTAAAATCTTAAGGACCATTTTAGCGAAAGGGCTTTTCGCTTAGTACTTGCATAAAAGATAATATCGTTACAAAATAAGAAAGGAGATTTAATAATTGTGAAGCTTGGTAATCTTATGTCTGATTCCAAAAGGGGAAAGTCCCATTTTTTGGGGGTGAAGCTGCTTTATTTTCTGAAAATTGGTCCTACTCTAAGTGTAATTTTACTACAAGGTTTTTGAAATCTTTCCCAGTAAGCAACGAGTTAGCAGCTGTGGTAGTTATTTAGTGGACAACGGATGCGATTTTCTTTTCTACAATGAGCAGTAATAAAGTATACCTACTTGTCATAGTCGAGTACTGTGTTCAGCCTATGGGCTATTGTAATGACTGTATTCTTTGCAAATGCAGTACGTATTGTATTTTGAATGAGATTGTCTGTTTCTATGTCAACAGAGGCCGTCGCTTCATCCAGCACCAAGATCTTCGTATTCTTCAAAAGTGCTCGAGCTAAACACACCAATTGCTTTTGTCCAGCACTGAAAAATATTTTGCATATAGATTAAACATTTATTTAAAAAAACAGAACTCATTATGAGATACTTTTTTTAATTTTATTTTATAGCTGGCGTTGAACAGCAGACCAAATTCTGAGTTTGAGGCTATCGATGTTCTGTATATTTGAACCGAATGAAGAAAACAAAGGAACTTCAAGATCAAACACAGAAGTGAAATAACCTTTGTGAAGAACATTATGATAGAGCCAACCTTTATTTGCGTTACTAGGAAAGGAAAGTCAGAAAACATCCCAAGATTAGCTGAACAAGAAGTGGATCCTAACTAATAATCCATCAACAACCAAGAATATTTTTCTTCGATATTGATGTTGGTGCGAGCCGGGGTCAGAATTCAATTCGAGCTGTCACTGCTGGGATTTGAACCTGGAACGCTTCGTGAGAGTTGTAATCCATAAAAGCCATTGCGGTTCAAGATGGAAATATCGATAATATCACCCGATTTATCATTCATCAATCAGTCAATCGACTGAAATTATTATTATAAATCATATTTATAAATTATATTTATAAAATCAAAACATGATTAAGTTAATGGGATTAATTTATAAAGTCTTTGATAAACTAAATGTTGAAATCAAGATTTTTAGGAAATCTTTAAATTGTGGAGTAAATGAATTATTTTATGAAAATAACGTAAACAATTGGAAAAAAGTAGTATGATAAAGTTGTATGCTTTAAAGCTTTAAGTAAAGCAGTTTAATTGTTTAAAGCAATTTAGAGGTATAAGTTCTAAAATTGATTTTTTCTTTTTTTTTTTAAAAAAAAACACTTTTTAAAATTTTTGAAAGGTACTTTTATCTGTTATCACATAACTCTAAGAGCGCTTTATTTTTCTCATTTATGAAAAATTCAACTCAGACAATGGTCAATTTCCTCTCAGATAAAAAATGTAAAAAATGATGAGAAACATGCCCCTACTTATTCTTAATTTTCACTTACAGATTAAGTAAATTAGGAAATTCGTGAAATTTTTCACTTTTATTTGACATATAAATTTTTATTTCAACTATTTTAGACTAGTATGAACTTGATCTTTTAAATATTTTCCCTTAAATAATAAACAGTTGAATATTTAAATAACCTTTTGCACTCAGGGTACTTTCAACGGTAAACCCATTTAAGGAAACTATTGCGAAAACGCAACATTTTGTTCCGATGCACAAAGTAATAGACTAGACATTTATGCTCTTAAGTGTTTTTTAAGTTTTTAGCGTAGCGAACACATGCTGGACATTGGGGCGAGTCGATTCATCTATACTTGGTTATCATGTGCTAACAAGTCATGAATATAAACTTATGCTGAGTCGTGGCATGATCTCCTACATCAGATAGCCACCACACGGTTTTCTATAAGTAGTCTGCGCAGACTACTTTAAAAGAGAACCGGTGGTGCGCATGAAACTAAATTCTATTGTAAAAGTAATTGAGAGAAAATTATATATATTTAAGAATTAAATCTGTACTGGCTGACAAGTGAATAAAGCAAACCAATCACGTTCATAAATTTAAAAAAAATTTCTGTCGTTTGCTATCACTTTTTTTATTTTTTCTGGATATTCTATTAAATGGCTCTTTCGTAAAATAGTTCACCATCATTGTGGTATTGTCAAGCAACCTATAAGAAACCGTGTGGAGGCTTTCGATATAACAAATTTTAATATTTAGATTGGTAGATTATTTATAGACTACAATAATGCCTGATAGACGCTGTTCTTCTAAAAGGAGTTAATATTTTCAATAATTTTTAATGGAATTGAGTTTATTATTTATTTTTCCATACTTAATTAAAGCTCAATGTAAAGAGACTCAGTGATTTCATTCAAAAAAACCCTCCACTCAGAATAAATTAAAATGTTATATGTTTTTATAAATGTGACAAAAATTCAAATTTATATTAATGCGGTGCAACTGTTATGGCTCACAATTTAAAAGTGAAAAAAATTAAAATCAAAATGTTATTTTCGAAACTCGAGAAATTTATTTCAAGAGCCTACATACCTTAGATTTCCACCATTCTCTTCAATGTTATGCTCTAAACCCACATCCAGAGAAGTCACAAAGGATTTTAAGTGAGATCGTTCCAAGCTCTGCCAAACAGCATCATCGCTGTATTCATTATTGGGATCTAAATTGGATCTTAATGTACCCGTAAAGAGAACTGGATCCTATTTAATAAAAACGAAACTAATAAATTATTTCACATTAAAAAATATTCAACTTTAACAGATGTTATTGTCAATTTTTATATACTGTCGATTTTTTTAAGGCTGTGAAACTTTTGACAGCTATATAAAAAAATAATTATAAAAGTTCAGTGTAAAAAAGCTAAATATAAAAAATGTTCTTTACAAATTGTCTTACTGATATCAAAATTAAAAATTTTGAAATCAAAGTGCGATAGAGGAGTTAAGCGAACGGTAAGTATTTCATGAAAGCTGTAAAAAATTTGTATAGATATTATTGAGCTTATTTACACAAATTACTAGCAGATGGCGCTGCAATCAATCGAAGAAAAGAATGATTAGTTCGAACGTGTTGAAGGTTGTTGTACCAAATTTGTGGTAACAACATGGTTTTCTAGTAATGGAATACTATAGGTTAGATTACTGTCTTACGACATCTGTGTTTGCAAGAACACTCCATACTGACCAGCACCATCTGTAGGCCACTTGTGTAACTAAATTCCAAATATTCTGTGTAAAATGGAAACAGCTTTCAAAACTTTCAAAATTTGTTTCATTCCTCTATCATACTTAATTTTAGAGATTTTTAATTTTGAAATCAGTGAGTCATCCGCCTGAGATCCTGTATATAACAAAATCTCTTAATTATACATATTTTTTTAAATCTAATAATGACGTATCACTGTTGCCTGCCAGAGTATACGGAGACCAACAATATTGATTTTTTAATTACTGATTTTTGATTACTGATTATTGATTTACTGATTTTTATTGCAAATAGTGTGTTTGTACTAAAACTCTCGACTGTTAAACATTTATATTTTAACACTAAGTGGAATAATGGCACAGTTTCATTTTTCGATTATTCAGTTTTGTAGAGTTATCTTCTATTCTGTTTTTTGTACCCACATCATTTTATTTTATTTATTTTTCAATATTCTTCTGAATTATATTCTGCAATTAACCATCGCAGCGAGGAGATTCTCAGATCCAGTGATTGGTTAATCGCAGGACATTTTAGAAAAATCAAAACATTTTCCCACACAAATCCAAGCACAAGGAAGATTTCAAAACTAGATTTCTGCAATATCCGCTGAGAAAATATTCCTTTTTTTAACTGAAATTTCTTCCACTAATCTTTCAAGAGTTTATTATATTGACGAAGTAGGATGCTACCAAGATATGACTATGTTAATTATATTATTAAAACTAAAACTAATAATTTTTATTAGGAAACCCTAGATTGTTACAAACAAAAGAAACAAACTTCGAACTTACCTGAGGAATTATAGTCAATTTTGATCTTAGTTTATGCAAGCCTAGTTTAGAGATATCTACGTCGTCTATAAATATTGTTCCTGTCACTGGTTCTATAATCCTGAACAAAGCCATGGTGATCGATGACTTTCCAGCACCAGTACGTCCTATAATGCCAACCTAAATTAAAATTAATTTCTTAATACAGTTTTAAAAAGATAGTATTTCAAGGATTTATATTTAAATCAAATTTGACTGGGTTATTTTAGAATAGCCCTGACCAAAGATGCAAGTTAAAATTCTCTAAAATGGAAAAAACGAAAACAGTCTCATACTTTTTCACTTCCGTTTATAGATAGATTAAGGTTTCTCAATACTAAGTCCAGATTCTCTCTGTACCTCGTGCTGTAGTTGCTGAACGAAATCTGACCAATGGATGGCCAATCATTGTTTTGACAGTCGGAATTCGTATCCCACGCGGCCTAGATTTCCACAAAATATATGAATTAAAAAGAAAAATCTAAAACATTTCAGGACTTAAAATAACGAGATTTTGTTTCAATGCATTAAAAAGGAAGAAAGAATAAGAAAAAAATAGAAAGAAGGAGAATGTCATACCTCAGAATCAAGTTTGCAGTATTCGTTTACTCTCTCAACAGAAATAGATTTATCTTCTAGAAAACAACTTAGTCTTACAAACCATTTAATAGCACCTGTAACCTACGGGAAAAATAATTTTAATTCAATGAAATCTTAATTATCACGGATCAGGGGTTAAGAAACAATACCTTAGATCAGGGATGGGCAAACTTTTTTGATCGAGGGCAAAAAAATCGAGAAAAAAAGTTAGGTGAGCAGAGTAAAAACTTCTAAAAAAAAGAAGAAAAAAAATGATATACAAATTTTAATGAATGTATTTAATGAAATGAATGAAATTGCGATTTCATTTCTAAAAGTTCCATAAAAGTTCTTTTAAAGTTCCTTACATTTCATTTTTAAAAGTTTCATAAAAGTTCTTTTAAAGTTCCTTACACTTCATTTTTAAAAGTTCCTTATATTAGGTTCGAAGTGAGATGTACTTATTTTAAGGAAAGAGGCTAAATGCTTGTCTGTTAGTCTGTTTCTGAAATGATTTTTTCTAGGATTCATAGTTGAAAACACTTGTTCACATATATAAGATGAAGCAAACATAGCACTGATTTTCTGGGTGTGAGATATTAAATTTTGGAAACTAGCTAATTGTAATGATTAGTAAAACTCAAACCTCGGCATATTCAGAAACAACTACTTCAGATGATTGTTAAATTGCAACTCAATTAATTCAAGCTGCAAATTCGACCTCACTGTTTCACAATTTATATCGAAAGGAATGGTAAAAATATCTAATTCTGTTTGAGTAGCACTGAAATCTTGAAATCTGCTTTCAAATTCAAATTGTAGTTTTTTCAAGCAATCTTAATAATTCTTAAGCTTTTTCTTATTTATTGGGGTATTGAATTTAACCTCGAGAATTGCGACAAGTCGTTCTTAGCTAGCTGCCCAGAAAACAGATTAAGCTTTGAGATGGGCCCAGATATCATAGATGAATTGATTTTTCCTTGCAGCTTAACATTCATGTTGTTCATATGACAAAGAAAATCTGTGAAAAATGCAAAGTCTGAAAGCCTATCTGTATCTTCTAATATTTCGCACTCTACTGAAGACTATTTCCTATGGAAGAACTACACTATGTCTGCTTTTAGCTTCCAAACTCGCTCGAAGACACGTCCTGCTCTAAGCCACCTTACTTTCGTGTAATACATCAGAGTATTCAGATTGCACGGACTGAAGAAAATCTCGGAATTGCTTGTGAGTAAACCGACGAAATCGAATAGTATTTACAAGGTTTACTACTACGTCAAACACAGGTTTCATATTCAATGCAGAGTTTTACAGAGCATCTTGGTGTATAACACAATGGAGAAAACTAACGTTATTCCCGGGATAGTTCTGATTAAGGGGTCTAAGGAATCCGGATTTTTTCCTTTCATAATTTGTGCCCCATCAGTCGAAATATTACATATTTTTGTTATAGCCACTTTCATAGTTGAAACTCACGAAAAATATCCCATCCCGTGGTAGTTCCCTTTAAAGAACGCATGCGCGCCTGCTCCTCGGTAATTTCAAAGTTCTCATCAACAGCTTTTATAAATAACACTAATTGAGCAGTATCATTTATATCAGTGCTTTTATCCATAGCTATTGAGCAAAATATAAATTGTACAATTCTTGACTCTAATTGTGATGTCAAATTTCAATCGATGGCTTCGATTCTAGAAGTTACTGCTTTTCCCGATTAGCTTACAGACTCAAAATTATTTTTTATGTCTGGATATAAAACATCACTAACTTGTAGCATATATTGTTTAACAAACCTCCCACCCCACAGAGTGGGAGAGAAAGAGATTTATTATTTTTAGCAATATTGTATGCTACAATGTAGCTTGCATGCGTAGCTGCTTCTTGGGCACTGTTCATCTTCTTAAAAAAATTTTTTTGCCCTGATAATTTCTTTTAGAAAACTTTCTGCATTTTGTCTTCTTTCACATTCAGACATTGCTTTGTAGTTGGCAGACTTATGCTTGACTGTAAAATGTCGGTTAATGTTGCATTCTTTAAAAGCTGCTGCAGCTTCATTGCAGATAAGACATACTGTTTAATCTTTTTTAACAGTAAAAATGTCTCCAAGTCCATTCATTATTGAACACATGGCACTCTGAATCAACTTTACGTTTTTAGCAGCTATTTTGGATTTACAAAATTTTACAAATAACTCCAAAAAGCACTAGCCATTTAATAATTTCAACACCATTTAAAATGACGTTTTATGTGTTTTTTAATCTTTCCATGCACAATAAATAATGTTAGAACTCACGCCGCCGGCAGAAAAATCAGCTCTTTGGGGTTCTCTTAAGTGCGCAGTCAGCCACATGTAAAGTACAATTTACATATATTAGATTCCATATGTCTGTACCTCGAGAAAGATACACGCTCACTGGATCCAGTCTACTGCTATTTTATAAAGATCTTCCTGTTTTCAATATTTTACCAATTGAAGCTGGCTGTGCTAACTATTTTCATCTATGTATGTTTTGTAGAACAAAAATAGAGAAAGTAAAAAGATCATTAGTACTTGGTTAAAAAAGAAAGAACAAAACAACTGTAGACAAGAAAATGGATGCACTAAGTCTATATACGCCACGGATCGGCAAGTTAAAATTCTATCCGCGGGCCGGATAAAACCTTCCGACGGGCCACAGTTTGCCTATCCCTGTCTTAGACCATGTCTTTCAACCACTACGGATTTCACATAATTTTTACGTGATTATTATTTATTGTGGTAGAAAAGGTAATACTTTGATTAATTAGAGGTAAAGGGATCAAATCTATCACTACATCTACATATATAAAAGTATACATATTCCATATAAGCAATAGAATCAAGTTGAAGACTGATAGTTTTTAAAGAACTCCTACAGCTTCGTAATCCCTCGTGTTATGAAACAAAGTCTTCCACAACTGAAAGCCTGCTCTCGATTTCCCATAGTCTGATTAGACAACTATATAAGATATACCCAGCTTCCGAAAGAACCAACTAAAAAAAAATCTAATAAAAATAAGAAAGTGGTAGAAAATACATCTTTAAAATTTATTTAATTTATGAATATGGTAGGTTTGTCTTAATCGAATGTTGAAATTATTTATGAGTAGAGGTAAGCAAAATCAGTTTTTTTTCTCTTTTTAATTAAATAAATACTCATATATTTAAGCATAGATTTTACTGCCAGTGGGAAAATGCATTTGATAGAACGTAACAAATTGGCATCTCTGTTATTAGGTAAATAATCTGCTTAAAACTATTTAAATGTTTTGTTTTTTTCCATAATCAATGTTGCATTGAATTCATATTACTCCCCCTATTCATCTTTTTTATAAAAAAATAACCCATTCTCAAATGATGAAATGTGCTTAGCCCAAATTATAAACCCTTTTTTTTCGGTGGTTGTTGAATTCCACCTTTGAATGGCAATCACAAAGTCACTTTGGTAAATGCCCGAAATATATACTAAGTCTAGTTAAGTGCAACAGCCCTGTATACATTTGTCTGGTATACCATTCACTGGTGTTTTTTAAGGCCCAGTACCACTGTCCGTCATACATTTGAACGGTATAGCCTACACTAACGTTTTTTTAAAGTTTAGTGCCATTGCCCGGTATTCCGAACACTGATGTTTCTCATAATCTATCCTAAGCATATATTAAAATATAGAAAAAATATAACATCAACCAGTAAATCAATATCATATCTTATGTAACAAATATTTCGCACTTTCACCAAAGCGACTATGTGACTGTTGACATTAGCCGGTAAAAATCGACATTCTCTTCACTTCGTTATTTATATATATACGTATTTGCATATTAACCTTTTCAGACCCTAGGTTTTACACACTTGTGCACCCACCAAATACAAGGTGCCTACAACTTGGACAATTTAGAGAATGGTGATTAACTTTTTTCAAGACTGCAATTAGAAATTAAAAGGCTTTGCTTACATTTAAAGTATAAGTTATCATTAAGGCAACATCAGCAGGAGTCAAGTTATGCCGATTATGCACAGCAAGGAAAGCTGATATGAACACAATGATACTGCCCAGCATATCAAGCCAAAATCTAAACCACCTGTGAAAGAAAAAAATGGAAAGAAATAATTGATAAATTAAAATTATAGAAAATTTTATAAAAAAGGATAATGAAAGAATAAAAGTCATTAAATTAACAGTGGGAAAAAAATTTCATTTATACAAGCACTTGTTTTTACCTAATTCGGTTATGGGGATGTAAAATTTGTAATCAGTTAGGTTCGGAAAGATAAAGACATTTTTTTTTCAAAATGATAGTTTTAGTAAAGTGTATTTTTTGACTGAATGTACAAGATTTTAAAGAACGTACAGGTTTTTTTTTATTTATGTTACCGTTAAATTGGTATTCAGTTATTTCATAGAATAACTAGGTATTTCATGAAATAACTAGACAAGTCACTTGAAATATATAATTCATGAAAAATTTCATTCTTTATCTAGTTATTCCATTAAATACCTAGTTATTCTATGAAATAATAAATGATAGTCCGTTAAAATGTAATATGTATATATATATATA